CTATGGTTGGCTTACCCATTCACCTTTGGATGGACATCTTGGTTGTTTCTGGTTTTGGGAGATTATGAATAAAGCTGCTGTAAACATTCATGTGCAGACTTCTGTAGGGACATACGTTTTCAGCTCAATTGGGTAAGTACTTAGGAACATGACTGCTAGATCATATGGTAAGACTATGTTTAGCTTTGTAAGAAACTGTCAAACTGTCTTCCAAAGTGACTGTACCATTCTGCATTCCTTCTAAAAGTGAATGAGAATTCTTGTTGCTCAGTGTCCTTGTCAGCTCTTGATGTCAGTTTTTTAAAATTCATCATTCTAATAGGTGCATAGTGGCATCTTGTTTTAACTTGTAATTTTGTGATGACAGGTGATATTGAGCATCTTTTCATATGCTTATTTTCCATCTGTATGTTTTCTTTGGTGAAGTGTCTGTTCAGGTATTTTGCCCTTTTTTTTTTTAAGATTTTATTTATTTATTTGACAGAGAAAGACACAGCGAGAGAGGGAACACAAGCAGGGGGAGTGGGAGAGGGAGAAGCAGGCCTCCCGTGGAGAAGGGAGCCTGACGCGGGGCTTGATCCCAGGACCCTGGGTTCATGACCTGAGCCGAAGGCAGACGCTTAATGACTGAGCCACCCAGGTGCCCCTCTTTGCCCATTTTTTAATCACGCTTTTTGTTTTCTTATTGTTGAGTTTAGGAGCACATCTAACACGCAAGACTCGATTTCTAAATACTATTCTCCACTAAAAGGAACCAGAAGTCCTTGGAAAAGTGGTTGGTTACTGGGTCTGAGCAGGGGAAAGACAAGATGAGCCTGGAGCATCTTATAGTACTAGAAAGTAAGACAGCGCTCAAAAAAAGCCGTGGGCTTGTCTAAAGGGTAGAGAAACCCATATGACAGAGGCCTCCAGTGGCCAAAGCCAGAACTGACTGAGCCACAAAATAATAACAGTATTAGATTATAACCTATGGAATAAAATAAATACCCATGAATTCATATTGGTAATATATAAATAATTGAATAAGGAAATAAATAAGGCAGAAGGGATGGCTCTTCCTTAGACAATAATTCTTTTTTTTTTTTTTTAAGGTTTTATTTATTTGACAGAGAGAGACACAGCGAGAGAGGGAACACAAGCAGGGGGAGTGGGAGAGGGAGAAGCAGGCTTCCCGCGGAGCAGGGAGCCCAATGCGGGGCTCGATGCGGGGCTCGATCCCAGGACCCTGGAACCATGACCTGAGCCAAAGGCAGACACTCAGTGACTGAGCCACCCAGGCACCCCAGAGAATAATTCTAATTAAATAATATAGAAAGAAAAAAAATAATATAGAAGGAATAAGAGAAGTAGAAAATCACCATTAGAACAAATCCACAAAAACAACTATTGTAGGCAAGATCCACCAGCAGATGCTAAGAATAGCAGATGAAAGTGAGAGGAAACAGGATATTGGCACAGTCTTCAAGTATCTACCCCAATATATTTGTTAATTAAAAAGAGAAAAATAGTAACTTCACAGTGCAGAAACCCCACAGACATGACCTCAACCAAGTGATCCAAGTAAACGTCACTGCTAATAAGACATATTGACATCTTAAACCACAGTTATGATATGTTGAGAAGGCTACATCGCTTCTGTGGTATTCTTGCCAAAAACGGATGACCTCAATCTACTCATGAGAAAACATCAGACAATCCAAATTGAAGAACATTCAGTAAAGTAACTGACGAGTACTCCTCAAAATGTCAAGGTCAGAAGGACAAGGAAAGACTAAGGAATTGTCACACACTGTAGGAGACAAAGGAGCCAAGACAACTAAATGCAGAATGAGATGATGGATTAGATCCTGGACCAAACAGCTCCCCCACCGCCCCCCAAAAACAAGAGGACATTAGTGGGAGAGCTGGTGAAATCAAATTTGCACCAATTCTCTAACTATATCAATGAATATTTTACTAGTTCTTAGTTTTGACAACTGTACTGTGGTTATATATAATAATGTAAACACTAGTGAAAACCAAGTTAAGGGTATATAAGAAATCCCTGTCCTATTTTTGAAGTCTTTTTGGAAGTCTAAAATTATTTCAAAATAAAAAGTTGGAAGTCATTTTGAACTCACCTTTTATCTGTTAGTTATATAAAAATATCTTTCTCTTCTTGCACTACAGTTGAGTAGATGCATCTCTAAGCTAGTGCCTCAGTTGTACCTCCCAAAGGCCATTCCACCATTGCTCTGTAAGGTCAGTGGCCTCTGACCTGACCAGAAAAAAAAAAAGAGTGGGTTGTTCAGCCTTAGGTGATGTTATGTGGTATCCTATGTTGGTGGATCAAATACTCTGGGAAACTTCAGACAGTAGGGCTGGCTGAGGCTATGGAGGCAGGAGAGGCAAACCCAGACGCACAATATGTGTTGTGTTGATTTCAGCCCACACAAATTGCTCCCCTTTCAGAGTGGAGGAAATCCAGTACAACTGACTTGTGACCAAGAGGCTGGCTGGTCTCCTTGAGGAATGGTACCATGTGGGAGATTCAATGTTGCAGCAGGGTGAACACCCAGCAGTGGCAGTAGCCAGATCAGCTGTAGTGAGTGGGTTCCATGCTACTGGATTCATTTTTTGCCTCTATCCCTACTAGCATGTGCCAACACTAGAGTGGGCACTGACCACTGATATCATTGGCCAATGATAACTGGCAGAAGCATGCTATCTGCTTCGTTTGGTCTCTTCCGTGGCGGATGCTCACTGATGGGCGTTAACATGTGATGCCCATGCTCCAGAGATCCCACTTTGTGCTTACTCCTAGAGATTCCATCTACATGCCTCTTCTCCAAACCTTTTGGACTCTGACTTTCCAATCTTTCTCCTTCAAGCCATTCACCGTTACCCATGAGCCTATACTTATTCTTCTATCGGGCCATTTTTCTTTTTACGAAAGGGGATGATCAGGTGTGTGACCTGGAGCTCTGCCAACTGGAGGGACTTCAGTTACCCCTAAGTGGAGCTATAGCGCAGTGACAGTCCATTGTTAGCTTACACCCTCATACTGAGCCAACCCATTCATGAATCGAGCTTGAACTCTTCTTCTATCAGCTGGTAATAAGAGCTCCCTGTTATGGCCATATAGGTGTGAGCTGAGGGAAAGGTGCTGGCCAGGCGATGGTGGGTGACCTGGGGATCCGAGCCATCTACCTGTGCAGCTTAATTTGCCCTCTGGCCCTGCTTGTGCCCAATTTTGTCTATTTCTGTCTTGTCTAGTGCTGGCTTGTTTTGGACCCACCTGCCTTTATGACTCGGTGAGTCTGATAGAACGTTCACAGCTCATGATGGCCACCTCCGGCCATGTGGACACTTGATATCTTGTGGTCACATTCACCATCATAACCAGGACCTAGTAGTGGGCCAGGGGTACTTTTCTGAATGGTGTATAGTCTCTGTTGCAAATGTCATGACCCTGCTCCCAAACCTTAGGGATCTATAGTGGGGTTCTTCTTTTAGGGTTTGCCACAAACTCTCCCTGGCATCTCTCCTCCAATCATAGGTACCTCCAGGACCATTAGCTACGTGTGGCTAATGGAAGCATAGTTACAGAACACTTCCGTAAGTAACAGAAAGGTGTACTGGACAGTACCACATCTTGATCTAACAATTTACGTGAAATACAGGGACTAAAGGAAGATATTAAACAATACCACATGGATGCAATCATCCACATACAGAGTGTGGAAAATTCTGCAGAACAAGCTACCCAGTTTCTTTTATTTATTTATTTTTAAAGATTTTATTTATTTATCTGACACAGAGAGAGCACAAGCAGGGGGAGATGCAGGCAGAGGGAGAAGCAGGCTCCCTGCCGAGCAAGGAGCCTGATGCGGGGCTCCATCCCAGGACCCTGGGATCACAACCTGAGCTGAAGGCAGACGCTTAACCGACTGAGCCACCCACGAGTCCCATGCGACCCAGTTTCTTTAACAAATAAATGGCATGGGAAAAAAGTGAGGGGAAAGGGAAACCGTTAGAGATGAAAAGAGATTTATGAGACATGTTATCCAAATGCATTGTGTGGACTTTCACGGGATCTTGATTTGAACTAACCAACTGTAAAAGAGACGTTTTTTGAGACAAGCCAGTTAAGCAACACAGAGAGAGTGGAAATGTGAATTCATTCAAACGTGGCTGGGGAGAAGGACCCAAGTAGGAGTTTGTATTCGTGATTCAATTGAGAAGAAAAACAAAGCTGGGAATAGCTTTATCTTAGTAATGTTAGCAGCATGCTTCTCCAAATTTGCTGTGGAAGGAAAACGGAGCTTGGAAGAGCTTCAAGAGCGGCAGCCCCATCACTGCAGGATGGTTCTGAAATCCACCCAGCGGGAGGGTGGAGATGAAAGGACAGCTGGCTTTTCCTTTACTTAGCTGGTGACCTATAATGCACACCTAGCTTTCCTCTTCCAGGGAGCCTTCCGGGCTTACCTCACTGCCCTACGTCCATCCCATCCCCGAAGCTGGCTCCATGCACTTCCCTCCTCACAGTCCTGCTCTCGGTCTCCTCTAACTGTGACACAAGCTGAGACTTGCAGGGTAAGAGAGACAAAGCGTGTGCGCCAAGGCCCTGAGATGAGCTGGAGCTCCGGGGATACGGGAACCCAAAGGGAAACTGGAACTCAGACGCCAAAGAGGAGACTGGAAGGAAGTGGGGTTGATGGAGGGGAGAGCAGGGACCGGCGGGACGATTAAGTCCATGGCAAGGAGCCTGTCTTTGTTTGAAAGACCAAGGGAAGCCACCGCAGAGCTTTAAGCCCGAGAAGCTGCTCTCCTGTTTCCCTTTGTGTTAGGTAAGCCTCACCTCTCCTTTAGGAGTACTGACACACGCCTGCTGCTGTGCCTGACTCAGCAGGGTCTGGCAGGGCCACCTTAAGGCCGCGCCACCTTAAGCAGCCCCACCCCCTGCACAGCCAATGGGCTGGTGCGGCCACCTGGCCACCCACCTCGGCGCGCACCCCGCTATGGCCAGTCTGCTCCGCGCTGCTGCGACCTGGGGGCTGTTCCCCTGGAGGGGCTACTGCTCCAGGGGAACGCAGGTAGGTGGTGGGTCGCGGGGAAGCCCACTGGAGGGTGGGCAGCCAGATGCCAAGTTTCTGCCAGGCTCTGCGCTGCACCAGCACCCTGTGACCTTGAGCAGAGGATCGCTGGGCTCACTCTGCCAAGCGTGGGTGTTGAGTGAGATGGGCCGAGGCCCCCCCCAGCTGCCACAAATGGGACTGTAAATGGGGTGTAAAATCCAAAGCATATGGGCTCCAGGGCGCCCTCTCTGGGGCTCCCAAATGTGCAAACACATTTTGAAACAATGCCTGGGAGGTAAGAATGCGGGAGGCGGCGCCCCTCTGGACTGGCCATGAGGCTTTCCAGTCCCATTCTTTCTTTATCAAACTCGGCATTTCTCGGCGCTCCTGGGGCAGTGTTGGAGGACGGGCAGAGATAAGTAACCCTTCCGAGCTACTAAGGCAGGGCTGGCTACGTTATGGAACCCTGTGACGTTCCTTTTTGTAGAGTGAATCTGGCTCCTATTTTTACCCAGGTGGTGTTTTTCCCACGTGAAACATTGATCTCGATGGTTCTGTTCGGAAAGGGGCATTTTTGTAGAGTGGGTTTGCTTCCAGTGGGCCCACTGGCAAGGCCTAGCGGTGCTGGCCCTCGGGGTGGTGTCAGTGGGGCTGGGGTGGGGGCAGAAGTGCCGGCAGCCCCTCCCCACTCCAGGACCTGCCCCCGGGGCCCCAGGTGCCTCTGAGCGACTCTGGCAGTGTGTTTCTTCTCTGCAGGGCGAGCTCAGCAAAGGCTTTGTGGAGGCTCTGAAGGCAGTTGTGGGGAGCCCGCACGTGTCCACCGCTGCCGCCGACTGTGAGCAGCATGGGCACGATGAGTCCATGCACAGGTGTGGGGGCCCCTCCCCCATCAGAGCCCTGGGCTGGGAGTAAGAGGCCTGGGCTTTCTCCCCCACCCATCCGATTTAGGGGGGCTCTGGCGTTGTCTGCCTCTCCTCCACACCCATCCCTCTCCCACCATGTAGCCTCAGGCCCTGTGATACCTCGGGGCTCCTTGGACATGAGCAGGACCAGTGGGTACCATGCTCCCAGAAACTGCTAAGGGTCTGGTTCTAGGTGCGAACCTCCAGGCGCTGTGGTGTGGCCCCAGAATGTGGAACAGGTCAGCCGGCTGGCAGCCCTGTGCTACAGCCAAGGAGTGCCCATCATCCCGTTTGGCACTGGCACCGGGCTTGAGGGTGGAGTCTGTGCCGTGCAGGTAGGCACCCTTCCCCCCCCCGCCCCCCGCCCTGCCTGGGCTCTGGCTCCCTCCCACTTGTCACACTTGTGGCTGCCTTCACCCTGCCTTACCTGCCGTGGGGGGCGGGGGGCGGGCTCCCGACCGGATGCCAGGTCAGCCTGGAGATGAGATCCTGTGGAAGGTGGCCTGGCTCTGGGAAGATGCGGGTCCATCAGCTCCTTGGCACCCCTTCCTGCCAGGGCGGTGTCTGCATCAACCTGACCCACATGGACCGCATCCTGAAGCTGGATCCGGAGGACTTCTGTGTGGTGGTGGAGCCGGGCGTCACCCGCAAAACTCTCAACACCTACCTGCGGGACAGTGGCCTCTGGTTTCCTGTGGGTAGGCTGGAACTTGAGGCCCTTCCCTGGGGCCCTAAGGGCTACCAGGTGGCAGGGCTGTTTCTGGGGCACGAGGGGACCCCTCCATCCCCAGGTACTTGCCCCAGGCCTCACTCTGCCCTGCAGACCCAGGCGCAGACGCCTCGCTCTGCGGCATGGTGGCCACGGCAGCCTCCGGCACCAATGCTGTGCGCTATGGCACGATGCGGGACAACGTGCTCAACCTGGAGGTGGTGCTGCCTGGCGGCCGGCTGCTTCATACCGCAGGCCCCGGCCGGCACTTCCGGTGAGCACCCTCTCCCCAGGGAAACGGCCTCCTGGATTGGTGGGCCAGGCTAATGAGTCTGCCCCGGTCTGAGACTCAGTTCTTCCTGCGCCAGGCCAATTGGGGCTGTGCAAGGAACAGCTGTCGTGATGGCAGGCTGGGCCGACGCCCCCACCTGGCAGGGGTCTGGGGGACGGAGCTGGGCTTCCGGCTCAGGCTTGTGGCCAGAAACCCATCATCTTATGGCTGGGCACTCACCTACCTTATGTGTCCCCGGGGTCCAGGAAGAGTGCAGCTGGCTACAACCTCACGGGGCTCTTTGTGGGCTCTGAGGGGACACTAGGACTCATCACAGCTGCCACCCTGCGCCTGCACCCTGCCCCTGAGGCCACGGTGGCCGCCACCTGTGCATTTCCCAGTGTCCAGGCAGCCATGGACACCACTGTTCACATCCTCCAGGCTGCGGTGCCTCTGGCCCGCATCGGTGAGCTGGGGACTGGGCAGTCCAGGTGGGCTCCCCGGAAGAGGCCCCCTTTGAAGTCTGGGCCTCACCTCACCTGCCCTCTCCTCGGCCCCAGAGTTTCTGGATGAAGTCATGATGGATGCCTGCAACAGGCACAGCCGGCTGACCTGCTCCGTGGCGCCCACACTCTTCCTCGAGTTCCACGGATCTGAGCGGGCACTGGCCGAGCAGATAGAGCGGGCAGGTGTGCTGGGGTGCTGTGGGGTGGGGGGGCACAGGCTGGCCCTGAGTAAGGCCCCG